AATACATTGTCGATATATTTTTATTTGCAGCTCCATAATCAGCACCGAATCATCATTGAAAACATTCTTACAAAATTGGCATCTGGTAATAATAAACTTTAGAAAACAATAGTATCGTTTTGATAATTGAATTGGACACTCAAAATTTTGGTTTAGATAAAATAGTTGTCGTGAAGCTCTCCAGATACTTTGTGTAAAGTGGTCATTCGACTTAAGTGAATAGTACAAATATCTCTGGACGTGCATGAAATAGAAAAAATCCTTTGGAGATAGATATGACATAATTGCTAATAAAACACTAGTCTTATCCAAAATATTATTCCAGGTCTTCTTTGTTTCAACGTCTTGTGTTTCAACATCTTGTATATCCACATCAAAAATTTCAAGCACTTTCAAACTCGATTCTATTTAAATTTCAAAAAAAAAATTAATATTATGAATATAAAATTACATATTGTTATTCTACAATTTACTTCACCTAGTTCAGGACTTTGTATATTCCGTAATGATTTTTTCATCTTGTCTTGTATATATCGAATCAATTCCTCTGTTTTTGGATCTTTGAATTGGTTCATAATATTTTTTACGATTCTTAAAGCTGTAGTAAAAATTTCTTTTTTTTTTCACAGATTTTCAATTTTTTTATTTAAATCTTTGATCCTATTGAGTATTACGTCTTTTTCGAGTTTAGAATCTTTAAATTTTTTTCTAGCTTTACGTTCGAGATATTTCACGTGATTGCTTAGGAATTCGATGGTGGCCCTTTCGGAATTGAGTCCATCACTTCGAAGAAATTTTTTAACTTTCGATTCTCGAGGCATAATCGTCAATTGTTCTATCTGGATAAAAATTATCCTTTAAATGCAATTATTATACAATTGCATTTGATAAACGTATATAAAGTAGATAACGACAAAAAGTAATTTCACATGATGTTATATAAAACGCATATAAATACATTTACTGATTAATTGATTAACTAGAGATAATATATAAATCAGTAAAATATTTTAGTTTAAACTGCGAAAATTAAAAATCATGCAAATAGACTCAACTTAAAACCGGTTTTTAATATTGTAATATGTAAAAAAGTCTTATTATATCATTTACTTTATTTACTTTGTATGCTGCATATATATTTATATTATCGTTATCGGTTATATGCATTTATATTGCGAAATAGCAGGTTGACTCAACAACTGAATAATAACAGGAGGAACTATCGATATTACACAACTGATTTTATATACAGTGTATAAAATTAGTTGTGTAACATCGATGGTTCCTCTATCATGCCCTACACATTGTATATTACTTTATATATATTATACAAGATCTAAAAATTACATGTGATTTGTCAAAACTATAAATTTATTGACTGACTCTCATAGTATTTCAAATTTTTGGCAAAAAATATATTTGATTCATTACTGGGTCATAATTTATAAATATGAAAATCCATATGATTTGCCAAAACAATAAATTTATCAACTGACTCTGATGGTTCAGATTTTGGCGAAAGTTCCAATTTACAACAATAAAATACTTAATTATTATTTTATTTACACAAACTAATAAGACATTAGCTTAATGTCGTATCAAAGAGAATACCTGTTTCCATCAAATCAAGAAGATTTTTTTAAAAATTTAACATCATATGAATCTAACAATTCATTTGATATTGGGAATGTATTAGGTTCTTCTCAAGGTAAGAATTTATAATTAAAATAGTAATAACAAGAGAGAAATTAATCATTTAGTTTTGTATAGATACAATTGCATCTGAAGAATTTTTTGCCCCACTAGCGAATGAATCAGAAATAATCAAAAACAATGTCGATGAAATTGAAAAAAAATTAAATAGCAAACTGGAAACAAGTATTAATAACGTTAAAGAACAATGCTATAATATTTATAAATGGCTTTTTATTATTTCATTTATACTTAATATTTTGTTTATTTATTATTTTTGTCAAGACAATTTGAACATAGATAACACTAGCTTTCTATATATTTTCAAGAAGATCACGATTTCTTTTCTGACAAATGAAATAAAGTTTGTAGTATGAATAGCTTTTATTAATGGCAATTCAAATATTCATTTCTCTCTGATAGATTGTGTAATACAGTAAATTATTTTTGAATGATAAAAAAAATCAATTTTCATTCAGAAGACAATTGCTAATTTCATAATTGATAATAATTCGGTAAATTTGATTGTTGACAGTATATAGTAGTTAATAAAATTAACTGAGAATAAATAAAATATAAATTTCTAGTTTATAGTCTTTATCGTATATATTTATAGCATTTGTGATATAAATAGCTTTTATTATATTGTAATTCTGAATTAATGTCTCTGTGACAGAAGCAAGTTATAGACCTTTCGATTAC